GTTGGCATCCCTCCTGAAGCCCAGGACGCAAAGCCAAGGATACTAAAGACAGGGAAGTCTTTCAGATGGAGAAGAGCAATTTTTAGAGGGTCCCACAGCCTATTCACAGCAAATGAGACTTTGAGGTCATCTAATCTGGTCTTGCAGCTGGGATCTTTGAGGACTACAGGAGTGGTGACTTGCCCAGGATCACACAGCCAGCCATTATAAGAGCCAGGCCAGAACTCCAGGCTATGATTCCCTACAATGTGGGGCCTGGAAACATCCATAATTAATTTAGAACAAGGGGCAGATATTGGTACATTAGATTTTTCCAGTGAGAGGAATTAAATAAGGAAGAATGAGTCAATTAGAAAAAGAAAGCCTAGAGAAGAGAATGAAGAACATGACTCTCGTGCTAAATAACCAGCACATCACACTCGGCCCTCCACCCCAGCTTCCACCTCCAGCCCTGCCAGCTGAAAACTGTCATTTTGGCAGTGCTTAAAACAAAGACTCTAGATAGTTCCCCGGGGACTCCCCGGCAAGCTGCTGGGCCCACTTACCCTGTCGCACAGCAGACATCAGCTGTACTCCCTCTTCGGCTGTGAGAGGACCTTTGGCTGCAGTGCCGCCGCTCATTCAAGTGACCGAGATCCTCTCTACGGCGCCCTCCCCCACACCCCCCGCCCCGCACAGCCCTCTGGACGCCTTGAAGGACGGAGCCGCAGCCTTGTCCTAAAGAAAGACACAGCTCTGACAAGAAAAGGCAATCCGGGAGCCTTTCCCTAGCCGTTTAAAATGAAACTCACCGTTCTTGCTCCCGTGAGCTGTTGCAAATAATCTTGAATCTCGTTAGTGTGGTTGGTGGCTGTGATATCGACAAATTCCAGAAGCCCTTGTTTGATGGGCAATTGACTGAGGATCTCTTGGGCCCTCCTGCAGTATGGGCAGGTGGGCTTGATGAACACAACCACCTTCCCAGGCTGGATTTTGCCGTTCACAAACTCTTGAGCCATGCCGATGGGCTGCGTTCTCCCCGGGAAGAATCCTCAGTTGCAGGTATTGCTTGGGGTATTGAGCCCCGACCCAGCCAGTTGGCTCCTATTTAATAAGGAACCTCCCTGGAGGCGGAGTTTGCCTGGTAGCTTGCTCGAGTTTTAAAGGGACAGCTTCAAAGACATTTCCATCTGGTATACTTCATTAGTTAGCAATGCCTAGGAATGCAATACTTGCTATTTAATCGTTGGTAGCTATGAAAGACACTCTGGGTATCTTTGTTGTCCCTGGACATTTGGGGAGTGCCTGCCCATCGGCAATGATCAGAGTTTAGTCACCTCTGGGGAAGCATACATTGCTTACTCACAAAGGGGCTGAGGAAGCAGTGACTTCTTAGAGTAAATTATTGTTTTACCTCTCGGAGATACAGTTGTATTTTAAAATGCAAACAGAATCACTTAAGAAACAGAACACTTTGAAATCTCTTTAGAGGAAGTGAAATTGAAACTGTGACTTTGCACTCCTTATGAAGGTCGCTCTCAGAGCGTTTTGCTTGGACTGTATGGTGGGTGTTTGTTGTTGTGATCTTTTTATTGAAATTATTCTCAGTATTTAAAAATCTGGAGGTCTCACAAAACAATGTGGACTTACAACTTCTCTCTGAAAAGTCAGGTCGGGCAATACAGAGCTTGCGTCTTTTAGTGGAAGCTGCTGGGGCTGACAGCTGATGTCCCCTTTGTATAGGGCAAGTAGTGGCTTTGGTTTGCCACAGGTAACAACGACAGGCCCATGCCTGAGACACTGGCTTCACTCCATAACCATCTGAGTTGGTAACCCTTGAACAGCAGTTTAATATGGAGGCAAATTCCAACACAATCCCTGATACAAAACTACAGATGAAATGAGAATCTTTTTTTTCTGGTTGACCCTCTGTTTGTGACCCTCTGCTTTTACTGTTTGTGAGGGGAAGTAGTGTTGTCACTCAGACACCACATTCACTTCAGGTGTTATTAAGACACGGGTTGTACCAGTAGGAAATCTTTGGCTCTTCGCCAGGGTGCCCGTTCTCCTTACCCCGCGGAGCACAGTCTTCTACTCTTGGGTCTAGTTCCGGCCCCCTCTAGCTTGTGGTAGCTTACATAAACAAATCATGGAAAAACCATGTCCTTTAAACGTGAATCATCCTTTCCCCAGGAAGCTAGCTTTACGGTGAAACCGGAGTATCTTCAAAGAGTTGGGGCCAAGGCCACAGCTGGACACCGCCACTGCCACGTGCGAGGAATCCCAAGCAAACTGCGATCAAGGGAAGGGAAGAAAATCCACTCCCGGAAGCAGCTTTTTACTGTGACTCTCGTCGTTAATAAAATTAAAATAGTAAAATGAAAGTCAGATTCTGAGTCACGGAGGGGGAGCTAAGTGACAGCTCTGTCCAGAGAAAAGGATGTGGCTGGGAGGCCCCCCGGCGCGGTCAGGGCCCCGGACTTCCCACTTCCCTCCAGAGGAGGCCCCGCCACAGAGTCTGACTCTCCTCTCTTTTTTTAGTCTTTTACCTCCGAACCCTGTGGCCAGGCTCCTTCCAGAGACCCCCGCCAGGAGGTCCAGGGTCTCTTTCAGGGCCCTCAGGGCTGCTGCCTTAGGTTCCCTCAGCCTGAGGTTTATCCGCATGACTTGCACCTGCTACTCACTCAGCGCCTTTCTCTTCTCCCGTCTGTGGTTGGCTCCTCCCTTCCTGCTGCCTCTTCCTCAGCCTGCCACTGTGTTCAGGTTAAAAGCCACCACCACCACCACCACCATTCTCCATTTCCTGCTTTCCTGCCTCTGCCCTTTCGTGAAATTTACTGTCTGTACCTTTCTCACCTCCATTCTCTCATTTTGTTGCAATCTGACCTTGTCAACCATACTGCTGAATTGTTGGCCGACACCAATCATGGCCTCTATGTCGCCAAATAACCATTTAGCTAGGTATCCTGACCTTTTGCAATTAGTCACCTGCCGCAAACCTGGGGTAGAGGCTGGGGTCCAGGGAGACTATTGTCTGCCTCTCACTCAGTCCCAGGGACTGCCTGGTGTCTGAAGCATTAGGACATAAGGCACAAGCTAAAGAAGGCATTTTTTTTTATGTTTTATTTTTTTGTGAGGCATCATGTGGAACACGGGTGACAAAGAGATGGCAAAGAGGGGGTGTCCTCTCCATTTCTCAGAAAATGCTGTGGCTTCAACTCAGTGAAAAATGATGAGCCTAGAAGCCTCTGCTGCATTGTAGAGCAGGAGCTGAAACCCAGCATGGACCTCAGGGCATCTCAGTGGGAAGCCGCCATGGGGGCTGCCGATGCCTCAAGTGCTGTAGATGGAAAGAGGGTGTACGCGTGGACTAACACATGTGGACTCTCCTTCGGCTTGTGTGAGACACCCCCAGGCACTCCCAGAAAATACATCTTGGAGGGTGAGAAGTGAGGGCATTTTTTAGGGGAGAATCAGTCCTGCTGTGCAGATGGTTGGCAACAAGCTAGTGAAATATGTGTGGTTACTCTTAATGTGACTTCATCTGTACTCACAGGCTGATGAGGGCTGCAAAACATGTGGCCACAAATGAACGTTCTTTAGGTTTTTTCCTTACTTACTCACTGTGCAGGGTTTGACCTTGTACATCCCTGCAGGCCCCTGAAAGTTTTCCTCTTCCCAATGCCCACTGCAGCGTGATCTTTTTGCTCTTTCTATCTGGATATTGTCTCAGTCTCTTTGTTAAAAATTTTACCTACACATATGGTCTGTCTTGGGGCTTGATCTTCCCGCTGTGTGCACACCCACTCCTTGAGAGGTTGTAGCTCCACACCTGGCTCCAGCTGTCAGTTTTTACTTATGAGCATCACATATTTTTCTTTATCTGGACCTGTCTCCTAAGCTTCAGGGATGGCTATCTCATTGCCTACTGAAAAGACCCACCTGTGGATTCCTTAAGCCTCTCAGCCTCTAGGGAACCAAAACTGACTCTCCCCTGAAGCCACCCTCTTTCCTCCATAACTGCTCAGTGAGCCTGCATGCACCTTCATGTACCTTTTTGGCCAGGGCGGAAACCTGGCAGACATCTGTGCTACCCTCTGCTTTTACTTATGCACAGTGGCCAAACCCTACCAAGTTTGCCCCCTGAGTGCCTCCCTGGTCTGAACACCTGACTGCTCCCATTGGTCCAGCCCTCATTAGTTCTTCACTCCCTCTTGTAGCACCTCCACCCTCGCCTCGCTGCCTACTCCACACTGCTGCTGGGGCAATCTTTAAAAATACACACCCTATCTTGTTCCATCTTAAAACTAGTCCATGGGCTGGGCGCGGTGGCTCATGCCTGTAATCCCAACACTTTGGGAGGCCAAGGTGGGCGGATCACGAGGTCAGGAGTTTGAGACCAGTCTGGCCAATATGGTGAAACCCCATCTCTACTAAAAGTACAAAAGTTAGCTGGGTGTGGTGGCGTGCGCCTGTAGTCCCAGCTCTTCGGGAGGCTGAGGCAGGAGAATCTCTTGAACCCAGGAGGCAGAAGTTGCAGTGAGCCGAGATCGTGCCACCACACTGGGCGACAGAACAAGACTCCATCTCAAAAAACAAACAAACAAAAAACTAGTCCATGTTACCCCAGGACAAAATCCAGATTTCCTTGTGGGGATGTGGCCCTATGTAATGGGTCCTCCCTGCCCTGTTCACCATATCCCAGCCTCCCCTCAACATCTTAGAGACAGGAGGCAGCCAGTGGTCCCTGGTAAAACCCTGCCTCCAAGTCTAAAACAACCTGAAGGCTGAAAAACTGGATTGCTGTCCTAGCACTTTGGGAGGCCGAGGCGGGTGGATCACCTGAGGTCAGGAGTTAAAGACCAGCCTGACCAACATGGTGAAACCCCATCTCTACTAAAAATACAAAAAAATTAGCTGGGCGTGGTGGCGGGTGCCTGTAATCCCAGCTACTTGGAAGGCTGAGGCAGGAGAATTGCTTCAACCCAGGAGGCGGAGGTTGCAGTGAGCTGAAATCTTGCCATTGCACTCCGGCCTGGGCTACAAGAGCAAAAGTCTGTCTCAAAAAATACCGGAAGCAAAGACAAAACACTGGACAGCTGGTCCCAGATGAGGCCTGCCCTTTCCCGACTGATTCTTTCTGAATAATGTCCACCTGTGCACTGGGACGATGGCGTAGAACCTTGGGAAGTTTGCACCGTTTGCAGCGAGGAGGAGCCTGGCCTTTCCTGTTCCTGTGTGCTGACCTGGAACTCAATCTGTGAGCTGGGAAACCTGCTATCAGGACTCTCTCTTGTTTTGCTGAGAGTTATTTTTCCTTTTTTCTTTTCATCCAATAAATTCCATTTTCCTCACCCTTCTATGTGTCCGCAAGCCTCATCTTTCCTGGTCGTGTGACAAGAGCCCAGTTTTACCTGAACTAAGGGGAACGTTCTGCAACAATTTCTCCTTTGCTCCAACTGTTTGGACTCTGAGCCATGTCCTCACTGCTGCCACTCACACTAGGGACCTGTTGCTCCCTGTGCCCAGGGTGCCCTTCCTCTTGTTTCTGGGTGGCTGACTCCTGCTGGCCCAAAGGGATCCAGATCAGGATGGTGTGTTAGCACCTCTAAGAAGTACCCAAAAACACTCACCTCTTTCCCCCATGGGATGGGTGCCCCTCCATGGGGCTCACGTGTCATACTGCACCCTGACTCATCACATGTCATTGTTCCTTTGTATTAATTTTCTGTGATCTATAGTGAGTTCCTTGAGGGCAGAGAAAGGACTTTTATCTCTGCATTACCACAGCCCACACTGGTTCTTATCCATCCATCCACCCATCCATCCAACAGACATTTATTAATCAACTACTCTCAGCCAAACACAAACATCCATCATACAGCCCCAGGTCTTAGGAGTTTATAGTTTAGTGGGCGATATAAACACGGAAAATGGACTGTTAGAAAGTATTCTGGTTAACAGAAATGTGTATGGGCATTAGGTTAACCAAAGGGAGTAATCATTCCCACCTGGAGGTTGGCTGGGGAAAGGGCCCATATCAAAGGAGAGCCAGGCTGAATCTTGAGGGATAAGAAGAAGCTTGTGAGTGTACAAGGAAGGGAAGGGCATTGCAGGCAGAGGGAGTAGGAAGAAGAAGAACAACATAAACAGTGCTCAACACTGAACATGAATAGAGCATTGGGGTTTGAGTCGGGAGAGGAGAGAGAGACAACTGGAGAGCACGCAGAGAACAAGGGAACTTTACCACATTGCAGAGGGAGGACTTCACACACAGGCACCCAGGAGCTGGAACAGGTATACTTTACACATGGATAGATATGTAGTCAAATGTTTGATGTATTAGTGACGGTGTCACATCTCCCAAGTCACACAGTGAGTACCTAAATGCAGTTTGATCACAGAAAGGCTGTAATCAGTGACAGGAATGCTTTGGAGCTGGCAAAACTTTCAGGGTCCCTCTGTGTTCACCCTGGGACCAGTCCTGGCTTCCACAAGGCTTGAAGTGTACAAAGGGGCGGTTCAGGGGGTGGTGGGCTGCCATTGCTCCAGCTGCCCTCAAGGCTGCTACACTAAGCATGGCTGCCCACGTGGCCCCCTAGGCATGCTGCTGTGGAGGCTCAGGTGAGAGAGCCTTAGTACCAGCCGCCCTTTTCAACCTCGGACAGTGAAGGTTCTGGTTTGGGGCCATGCCTTGTTTTCAGAGTCTAATTCTTTAGAAAGCTCTCTCTGGCTCTCTCCAGATTTGACTGCGGGGGTCACTGGCTGTGGCTCTAACTGCAGTCTCTCTGGCCAGATGTTTCCTTGCCTTCTACCTCTATGTGGGGCTGTGTGATACTGAACTCGGTAACACTGACAGCTGCCATTTACTATGTACCTACTGTGTGCTGGGCTCAGTGCTAAGAGCTTTATATGCATGATCTCTAATCATCACAGCAACTTTGAAAAGTTGATATTTTGGATCCCAAACTGACTGGAAGAATAAGGAAAGTCTTCCTAACTCGAGGAACTTGAAGTTCAACCAAGGTCAGGAGTAGAGGCCGCCTCCCTACAGGCCGCCTCCCTACAGGCTCTGCTATACATTTGGAAAGTCTCTCTTGTTGCCCAGTCTCTGCAAACAACCATGTCCAGAGGAAATGGGAAAGTGTTATTCTAAAGTTTTCCCACAGGAAACCTCACCTTGTGTTATTGGTTAAATTGTGTCACAGGCTAATTCCTGACCCAGAGACTAGCAAAAGGAACGGAGTGACCACCACTTTTGGAGAAAATGAGGCCCATTGCTGGATTGGAACTGGTTTGACTTCTAAAGGGAGAGCTCTGATGGGGAGAAGTAGATTCCTTAACAAACAGGAATTCCCTAGGAAGGAAGAAGAGAAAAATGGTGGTGGGGTAGGCAACCAACTGCATTCATTGCCAACTCCTAGCACAAACTTCTTAGAACCAGTAAGCCACCAATGGGAACTTTATCTTGCTTAGACAGACAAAACTGAAAACCCTGAAATAAAAGGTGGGGCTTGTGCTGTTGAGAAGAAGGTTTTATCTACTCCAGGCCTAAATGTTTTTCAATGAGGTTATCGAAATGATATTTATTTAACAAATAAATATCCCATTGCCGTAGGTATCAGTACCTGCCATTTGCAGGTAAGAAAACAGACAGGGGAAGGTTAGGAGACTTTGTCCTGGGCTTCCCAGCAAGGAAGAGGCAGATGTGGGATTCAAGCTCAGGTGCTGGGTCCAAAGCAGATGCTCTCTCTGCTGCTCTACAGAGCAAATTCCAAGGTCTTAAAGGAAGGATAACACAAGCCTGAAAGGGGTCCCGAAGACCATCTACTCTAACCCCCTCATGAGCTTGCCTCCATGCCGTGGCATTTTCCCGCGGGGCACTTGTCCAGCCTCCCCTTGAGCCCCTCCATGGAACAGGCAGGAATTCACATCTATGAAAAGAATGCTGAGTGTCCCTCATGGAGCGGGAGCCCACTCCTCAGGGAAACTGTGTGCCTGCACCCAAGGCACACACAACTTTCAAGTAAGAGGGAACATGTCATAGTGTCATTCAGGATCTCAGATCTAGGATCAGGGAGAGGCAGCACCTGTGTGCAAGACATCATATGAGATAGAATCACAGCCTTGCTTGTGAGAAGGAAAAAGAGTAGCCCCAAACAGAAGTGAATTGAGATTCACATTGCAAGGCTTTTCTGAAAACACACCTGAGCACATTTCTCTCTGAAATCTCTTTGTGATGTTTCTACCAGCTGGCGGGCTGTCTGAGCACCAGCTCCTTCCTAAGCTAGGCTTACTCCACACAGCTAACAGAGGCTCAGCAGTGCTTAACTAGGCCTGTCATCAACTCACCCCACAACTAAAATGAGACATTCCTGTTATCATCTTATTCCTAGTCTAACTTTTATCTGGATAATTCTTTTTGTCGATACACATTCAACCCCCAAACAATCTATGAACTGGATATCTTTTTGTTGTAAATAAAAAAATAAAACATTGACAAGTGTTCAATTTAAATACTCCTTGAAGGGGCACTAATTAGAAATATATCAATATAATGAAATACTTTAAAATGTTTTTTTAAGAGGCAGAATTAAGTCAGTTGATATGAAATAACATATCTCTAAGACGTTAAGATATTGATTAAGATGTTAGTAAGATATGTTATTAAGATGCAGCACAGTGACATCAGTATGCTAGCTACCATTTATGTTAAAAAAATGGTATCTCGAGTGGGACTTTCTTGTTTGTTAGAGTAGAATTGGAAGGGCAAAGCTGAGGACTACGAAGGATAAATAATGTACCTTGTATAGAAAGCCACCAACAACAGGCCAGAATTCCTTTCCAGGGCTTTCTTAAAGATGAAACAACTGACCTTGCAGCTATCAGCACACACTCCCCACCTTCCCACCCTAGTTGGCCTAGTAACCAGTGTTGGAGTTTTTCCTTCCCCACCATGCCCTGCTGCAAGCCACATGAAATGAGCTCCAAGAGAAACATCATTAAAGATTGGAGTTTACTTGCAAGAAGAGGAGGCTGGTGCCTCATTTACCAGTTGGTCAGCTGCTTAGGTATAGTTAATGCATTGATCTGCCCTGTTCCTGTTGAGCAGGGGCAAAGAGCCTTGGGAGAAACGGCAGAGTCTGGCTTGAAAGGGACACGTGAGTCTCCGATGGGCAAGTGGACACCATGGAAGGTGACAGTCTTGAGTTGTCTTGTTTCCTGTCACTGGGCAAGGAGACCCAAGCATAAGAGGCTGTGGGGTGTACACAGAGGCAGAGGCTGAGGGGTTGGGAGAGGTCAACCTGCAGCTGCATCCGCCACACTGGGGAAGCCATGTGTGTGAGAGAGCCTCTCTGAAGAACTTACCTGGCAGCCTCAAAGAGCCTGTTTTAGGGTGCCAGACATTCAGATGGTTAGTGTTGGCCAGTGAGGCCATGAGCATTCACAGAGAAAGAACCATAACGCAGGAAGTTCAGTAAGGAGACAGTTACCCTCCCTCCCCATTGCCTCTCCCAGTCCCCAACTTTGATAAAGGTCAGGCAGAAGCTGTCATTGAACCTGATCATGACTCATCCCTCTCTACTCCAAAAGGAAAAGTGAGGGGACAGGAGTAAAAGACAGATATGCCCCCTGCCCACTGCAGGTGCCCCCAGGTCATGATGGGGGTGGGTGGTTTGAGTAGATAAGATCATAATTTTAGACTAGATTAGACCAGAATTTTTAACAGCTAAAAGCAAGAAGAAAGCTATGGGACCCCTTCATTTTCTGCCTCCCTCATAGGGATGGGAGATTGGACAGAGCACTCTTGTAAGTTGTGATCAGTTAAAACCCCCCTCCCACATTTTAGGTTAGTTTCCCACAGCTCCATATATGTGGATATGGGCAGACTATCTCTGGAAGGATAGAGAAGAAATGAGGATATGCCTCTTGAAGAATGACTTGCAGACTGACCCCAGGCCAGATATACTTCCTGCATATCTTTTGTGCTAGTTTTTGTGTTCTTGTTATCACATATAAATATTACACAAAATAGGCAGAAAGCATGCCAAAGCAGTGAGAGGGAACAGGGAGGATGAAAGAATGGAGACAGGACCCTTATAATTCAGAAAAAAGCAATCAAATTTATCTCTTTAAGGTAACAGGTTCACACTGAGGTGCAAAACTCAAATCTATTATTTGTCCCAGAAGGAGTGGGGTGATGGGAGCTACTCTGCACTCGGTTTGGTCCTGAGGGGCAGAGGAAGTGAGGATAAATGAGGATACTTCCAGACAAGTTGCATGCTACAATTGGCCTATCCGGTTGGCAGGAGACAGAAGAGACACTGGGATGCACACAGCCTTCCACCTGCCTGCCCTCTGCCTAAAGGAGTCTCTTACCCACATCCTGGGTCATGAGAGCATTCCAGAAAGTGGAACCTGACCCTGGCCTTCCGCACCAGACCACCTGCAAAGGAAAACTCGCCAGATTCAAGTATGAGTAGTCAGAAAGCGCCATCACGAGATCTGCGTACAGACAACAACAGAGGAAAGGGGTCTGGGACAGGGAGAGAAGAAACATCACCGTGGCATTACAGATGCATGTACCGGATTCTCCCTGTGACGCTGTTTGTAATAACGATGATAATAATAACTTTAAAACTTGAGAATGGCCTAAATATCCATGAATAAAGAACTAATTATACAAATCATGGTACATCTATATAACTAGTTCTTTTGAAGCCTATTTTGCGTAATATTTGTACGTGATAACAAGCAACCAAAAACCAGCACGAAAGGTATGCAGGAAGTATACCTGACCTGGGGTCAGTCTGCAAGGCATTCCTCAGGAGGCTTTTCCTCATTCCTTCTGTATCTTTCCAGAGACAGTCTGCCCATATCCACAAAATCATGAGTTCTGTCTGTACATGCCAATATGGAAAGATATTCAAGATATATAAATCACTTTAAGTGACTTATTAAATAGGCAACATGTAAACATAGTATAAAATCCTAATAATACAAAAGGGTATACAGTGCAAAGGAAGTTGCTCTTTTTTTAAAAACCACAAACATGTTTATTCCTCTAAAAACAGTATACCATCTTTCCAGTTTTCAAAATGTTATTATCAGTTATCTGCAGAGTACTCTCATTAATCTGATTTTTACAAATCTCAGACAGAGCAGAGCAATTCACCAGCACCATCATCAAGCGAGCTACAAATCTATTCTTTACCGAAGCAAGGAGACACTTAAGATCAAGTCAAGAGAAGAGCTTTCAGTGTTTACAGAAGGGTAACTCACATCTATTTGTCATACATTTCAGGGTCCCATATCCCCCTTTTAAATTGTCTAACTCCTAACTCAGTTTATTTTTATAGTGTGAAAACAAGGAGTCACCCAAGTGAGATATTCCTTCAGAGCACTGTTGAAAATGAATCAAACATGGAGATCCCCCAGATCCCTGTTCTCAAGTGTTAAAAATATTTTATATTAGCACACAGAATATCCTTAGATATATTCCATTATGTTCTAAAGAGTTTGTGTTTCCCCCTTTTTGATGATGTTTTCAATTTCTTCTGAGACCTTTCCTGTATAGTCAATTGGTTCTATTGCTTTTAACTTCTCTTGATACTCCAGTGGCAAACCATTTTTTTTGCACTCATGCAAATAATCTTTTTATACTGTGAAGACAGAGGAGTACTTTCGTAATTTGTCATCAGATAACTTTGACAGGTTAGTTCTCTTTCTTCTTGAGTAAACTTTAACTTCTATTGCAACATATTTTCCTTTTTTTTTTTTTTTTTTTTTTTGAGACGGAGTCTCGCTCTGTTGCCAGGCTGGAGCGCCCTGGCAGCAATCTCGGCTCACTGCAACCTCCGCCTTCCGGATTCAAGCCATTCTCCTGCCTCAGCCTCCTGGGTAACTGGGATTACAGGTGTGCGCCACCACACCCAGCTAAGTTTTGTATTTGTAGTAGAGACGGAGTTTCACCATGTTGGCCTGGATGGTCTCGATCTGCAGGTGGGCCACACAAAAGAACGCCGCTGAGGGGTTTCGGAGGTGGATACTCTCGTCAGCAGGTTGCTGCCCTAGACGAAGTACAGAAAACTGTCCTCATCCGGCCCGGGACGTCCCTGCAGCCCGAGTTCGCCATGTCCCACTGCTGCCTGAACGGGAACCTGGAGCAGAGCTGTGAGGAGCAGCCAGAGAGCGCAGCGCGGCGGCCCAGGACCCTGGCCCAGTGACTCCCTGGCCGCCGCCTCCAGCAAGTTGCTCTTTTACCTTATTCCTCATCAGTTCAGATTCTCTCACCAGGGGCAACCCCTATTTTTGGATTCTTGTGCCAGGACATGTTATTAAATTTTTTTAAAAAGGTCAGACCAGCGTATGATTCCATATGTGTGAAATTTAGAAGATTACATATATATTTGCAGGTGTGGGTATATGTACAATATATATAATATGTTATACATATACACAATACAATATATAAAATCAATATATATTATTTTTTCTAAAAAGGGACTGATGACTCAATTAATTAATTAATTAATAATTTCCCCATCAGTCAGATGAGGAAGGGGCTTTTTATTTTCCATCTTTCTTCATTGACTATTTACCATATGCACTTTCACTTGTATGTTTACTCTTTTTATTTATTTAAAGTAGATACTGGGATGTAGGGAGGTGGAGAAACCAGTTTGGACTAGACTTTAAAGAACGGTGGCAGAAGGGTATGAGATACAATAATAACCTGAGGGAATAGCAGTGTTGAGTAAAAGCATCTTTTGTTTAAGGGAACCTTGACTGTATTTGTTTTATTTTTTCCTTTTGTAGAGGAAGCAACTAGTTGACGGGGGAAAATATGAGCGAGAGAGAGACAGAGAGAGAAAAAGAGGATGCTTGATGGAGCAAAGTCACCAACAGCACTGGAGGAGGGGACAGAGGGCCAGACAGTGGGGCTGACCTCAGAGAAGACAGGTGCACCTTTGGAGGGTGCACCAGAGGGGGCGGGGAGGGGACAGACAAGGAGGGTGCCGAGGCTGAGGATGGGCAAGCTAACTGGCCACAGTGCAAGCCCAAGGGGAAAACAGATTCCAGACTCTGGACACATGGCCGAAATAGCCAACTGTGAGTTCCTGGCTACAGAGGAGGTGAGTGGAGCCAGGAGAAGAAGATGAGAGAGCAGAGTGGGGAGGCATTAGGTCAAGATGAAGATGAAAACTGGTTTAGTGCCAGGGTTTAAAAAAACAATAATATTTTTGAAAGGTTATGCTCAATGACAGGAAATTCAGGCTCTGCGTGACAGGAAATTCAGTAGGCACTCGGTGAGCTGCATGACTGAATTTGTGTAGCAATGTCAGAAATGCTGAAACAAAACAATAAAAGTTTTTTTAAAAAATACGTTCAAGCTTTTGGGAAACATAATTTTGGTTAACATGACCCCACAATTAAATGAAGTCTATTTAATTATGGAGGCAGTACTTCTGGAGGAAAACAAATTGCCTAGGCTGTCAATTTAGCAATGCAACAAACATGAAATCAATAGTTTATTAATATCAGGTGTATGGGTATAGACTTGCCTTATACAGAAGAGTTACATTCATACACCTGGTTGCAAAGAAATTAAACATGAGCTGAGATGCTCAAAGGAAATGAATCACTTAGGGATAGAGCATCTTCAATTAGAAAGGACAGTTTGGGCCGGGCGCGGTGGCTCAAGCCTGTAATCCCAGCACTTTGGGAGGCCGAGACGGGTGGATCACTAGGTCAGGAAATCGAGACCATCCTGGCTAACACGGTGAAACCCCGTCTCTACTAAAAAATACAAAAAACTAGCCGGGCGAGGTGGCGGGCGCCTGTAGTCCCAGCTACTCCGGAGGCTGAGGCAGGAGAATGGCGTAAACCCGGGAGCGGAGCTTGCCGTGAGCTGAGTTCTGGCCACTGCACTCCAGCCTGGGCGACAGAGCGAGACTCCGTCTCAAAAAAAAAAAAAAAAGAAAGAAAGGACAGTTTGTCCCACCCAGAAACAATCTCTGGGCTCATGTGTAGATGGAACTGTCACTTGGAATGACTTGTCAAAAGAGCTTGAGGTCAAACTAAAGCTGAAACTGAAAGGTAAAACTCTGAGCTAATAATAACTATTGACTCACATCACCAGAAAGTTTAGGAAAGGAATCAAGAGGAAACAACAGCCACTTAGCCCTTCCTCATCCAAGAATCCTTTCTGCCATTCCTTTCCATCCAGCACTTTTTCCCTGTGTAGTAACTTTCGGCTTTCATATTTCATTACTTCTCCGCAGAATATGAGGTTCAACTACAGGACTCTCACACAGATAGATGAGAAGTGTACTTGTGACAAAATGTTCTCCAGTGGGCTTCTGGCTAATATATTTTTGGCACATCCAAACTATGAAAGAGGATGCAATTGTTGATAAAACCAAGGAAGGAATGTATGTGCTGAGTATTCTGTGTCTAAAATCAAAGTGGGCTGGGTGCAGTGGCTCACGCCTGTAATCTCAGCACTTTGGGGGACCGAGGTGGGTGGATCATTTGAGGTCAGGAGTTTGAGATCAGCCTGGCCAACACGGTGAAACCCCATCTCTACCAAAAACACAAAACTTAGCTGGGCATGGTGGCATGTGCCTGTAATCCCAGCTACTTGGGAGGCTGAGGCAAGAGAATCGCTTGAATCTGGGAGGTGGAAGTTGCAGTGAACTGAGATCACAGCACTGCACTCCAGTCTGGGTGATAGAGTGAGACTCTATCTCAAAACAAAACAAGAAGAAAACAAACAAACAAACAAACAAAAACAAAACCACTCACAAAAAACAAAAAACAAAGTGCAGAACCATGTGTGTAGGACAATCTCTTTTTTATGAATATAACAATCTAGGGTATGAAAGCATTATATACGTGTGTGTATGATTATATATGAATGAGATAGAGTTGTATATCCTAACATGAAACATTTCCAAGCAAAAAACATACTAAGTTTGTTACATTGCAAAGTAATATCTACATCTAAAAAATGAAAAAAAAAAAATTACACATGTATAGATGCATGTTCTGTGCAGTGTGGGTGCCTAGACAGGGGACTGGGCAGTGCGACCTTGAGCAGGAGTGACCTGGAGCAGGATGGTGCAGGCTTTCAGCTTTCCTCTGTAGGTTTCTATATTATTTGAAACTTACACAATCGGGATATATTCCTACATGACTTACGTAAGAAAATAAAGAGAAACAGTAAGCGCCAAAAATGAAAAGTACGTAATCAACTCTTTGAGGCCTTCATGGGAAACTGGAGAACCAGACAGGAGTTCATAAGAACATGAAACACATTCAGGTCTACTAATCATGACCACACTGGGAAAGAGGGGACAGAGGGTTTGGTAGTCGTGGCAGGCCCAAGTATCTTGCTTCTGCAGTATTCAGAGAAATGTGGAGACACCGAGCTTGCAAGTCCATCTCAAAAGGTCTTGGCCCTTCAGCAGTGACATGGCAGTGGGGAGGAAGGAAGAAAACAGGCTGTCTCTGTGTGACTGGTGATGCCTAAGGGCTGGAGCATGAGATGGTCCCCAGGTCCTGTGCCATAACTGACATGCAGGAATAGGTGTTGGCACTGGTGAGAGCCAGTCTGCGTGTGACAGAAGCAGCAGATGATCAGAAATGGAGGGGGCTTTCTGACAAAGGCACCATCATCCCATGGGGAAGGAACATCTGACTCTTGGCTCACACTAAGATGCTGCCAGAGCGGCTGGTCTCAAAGGGCAAAACAACAGCCCCAGATGGAAAGTCTTCATGACGCAGCCTCTGAGGTCCTTCTACTCAAGGTAAGACCCCTGCTTGCCTGGCTCTATCTGGATTGCTGAAAATACTCAAGCACAGGGCAAGCTGAGGAAGGGGCGTGTGGAGGGAGGTGAGTGGTGGCAACAAGTCAGTCTTCTGAATCCCCTATCAAAAATCTGGGAAAGGTAACTTTTTACAATGAGGGTTGGAAACACTGACGCAGAGGATGCTGATTGGGGAGGTTTGGAGCCAACCATGGGTCCAGGTCTGTCCATTACAATAGAACTAACATGGCAACCTGGAGTCACATAGGCTAATCTAAACCAGCCTGACGGATCCCCATGTCCTTCCCAGGCCTTCACTGCTCCAAGAGTAACCAGTCACATGTCTCAGTAGCAGGAAGGAAGTCATTGACCTCACAGCAAGTGAAGCTGGTGAAGGAACAGAAGAGAGGTGAGAATCTCCACAATGAGGGGAGGGCAGCATGGAAGAGGGAGTCCAGGCCCTGCCAGCTGAGGAGATGGGGACATAAGGCACAGCTGTGGAAACTTTGGGCCACCACTCTGCAGCGTCCCCAAAGCCTGCTGTGGTACTCTGTGGCTGCCCTCTGCATCCCGTCTGGCTACCAAGGCAAAAGGGTCTCAGCTGTTTAGGCTAGTGCCAGCCATGCTCCCTCTAATGCCTAAGTGAGGATTCCTGAGGCCTCCACTTCAGCATCTGGGATACCACAAGGGGGTGCCAGGAGGGGAAGAGGCCCTAAACATGAGCAGGGGATTTTGGCATCCAAATGTGTTGGCCTGGAGAGTGTGAGGAACATAGAAACTTGGAGAATACACAGCAGGTATTGGTGTGAGGCTGGGTGATGCGAAAATGGAGACTGGGGTTGGGAAACCAACTCATGGTACAGAGGAAACACAATACTGTAGGCCTTTACATAACCAGCTTTCAACCTGTCTGTACAGGAGAGTCTCCTGGGAAGCTTTAAAAATACCTGTCTGGGCCCCAACCTGGAACAATTAAATTGGAACCCCGGGAGTCCTCTTGGACTTATGCTCCTTCCAGAGACCTTCCTTTCCTCAGAGGAAAACACACTCAAAGGTGTCTTTTCCGTCTTTGCTGGGAGGCAGAAAATTCACTTGGCGCACAGGCTTCTCTGCCGTGTCTTGGGAAGTTTACCTGCTCTGTGAGGTGCTGTTTCACTATGAAATTTACTCCCCTGTGACTTTCAATCCAGGAAACTGAGTCTCAGGGACCCTGGCTAACGACAGCCCTCACCTCCCTTTGGGTGTATCCCCATTTATTTATGGAAAGTATTTTCTGCCACTTGAAGCACAAAGATTTACTGAAGGGAGGGTGTAGCAGAGTGGTGGGTGAATCCTGAGTGGAGTTGCTTTGCTGTGCAGGTAACCTCCTCTTCCCTCTTAGGGCATGAACAGACACAGGTGTTCTGAGTTCTGGATTCCCTTGTCCTGGGTGTGGAATGGACAAATGCTAAGCTCTTTTGCTTTTTAGAATGGAGATGTTGTTTTGAAATGTAAGCTGGAGAGAGGTAGGGGATGGCAACCAGGCTTTGAGAAGAAGAAGGGAGTGGCCTGGCTCTGATGGCAGAGAGAGGGTGGCCAGTCTTGAGTGGTGGGGACTTGTGTGCCATTCACCATCCAGCACCCAAGTTGAGATATACAGCTCAGGTGAACCGAGTGAACTGAGGCCCTGGATACCTGGGGAGGAGACCCAGAGTCTTAGGAACTGGGGGCCAAGTGAAAGGGCCAAGGATCTTGCCTGACCTGGAGATGGTGGGGGCCACCAGAGGAGCCTGCAGATGGTGACATTGTCCTGGGGGCCTGGACAAGGAGCATGGCTACCATGCTGCACTAAAGGCCCCTGCCCAATGTTCCTGAATGGTGGAAACTCTAGGACTCTAGACTTCTTTGATCTTCCCAAGGGAGGGATGAGGGCAAGGTGATTGGGGACTGGGCCAGATTTAATTTTCTTTAGAGAAATTAAGAAATGTGGCAATTCTTTTTTTTGTTTGTTTTTGAGATGGAGTCTCGCTCTGTCACCAGGCTGGAGTGCAGCAGCGCAATCTCAGCTCACTGCAGTCTCCACCTCCTGGGTTCACGCCCTTCTCTTGCCTCAGCCTCCTGAGTAGCTGGGACTACAGGCACCCGCCACCACACCCAGCTAATTTTTGTATTTTTAGTAGAGACGGGGTTTCACCACGTTGCCCAGGGTGGTCTCGATCTCTTGACCTCGTGATCCGCCCACCTCAGCCTCCCAAAGTGCTGGGATTACAGGCTTAGCCACCGTACCCGGCTGAAATGTGGCAATTCTTATGCTCTAGGGTAGTGGAGTGATTCACACGACCTATATAGATTTGTTGGTTTAAGCAGATCATTGAGAGAGGGCGTTTCCATGCAGTGACTTTGAAGAAGAGGGTAGAATTAAAGTCTGGTGTACGGCATGAAAAAATCCAACAGAGCCAAAGGGGTGATGCAGGAAAGCCAGGGGAGGAGATCCTGGTAGCAGGTGTTCTAAAAGGAATTTTTTCCTCCTCTAGGGCATCTTCGGTGAAGTTGAAACTGGTTCCCCAACGTTTACATGTGATGGCTTCTCTTACCCCAATTCCTCCTTGGAAATGTTTTTTTTTTTTTTTTTGAGACGGAGTCTCGCTCTGTGGCCCAGGCTGGAGTGCAGTGGCCGGATCTCAGCTCACTGCAAGCTCCGCCTCCCGGGTTTACGCCATTCTCCTGCCTCAGCCTCCCGAGTAGCTGGGACTACAGGCGCCCGCCACCTCGCCCGGCTGGTTTTTTGTATTTTTAGTAGAGACGGGGTTTCACCGTGTTAGCCAGGATGGTCTCGATCTCCTGACCTCGTGATCCGCCCGTCTCGGCCTCCCAAAGTGCTGGGATTACAGGCTTGAGCCACCGCGCCCGGCCGGAAATGTTTTAAAGTAACTCTGATTTATTGTTACAAAAACTCCTATAAAAATGTGTTTCCTGACATTCCTGACCCCTAGCTTCAGTTCCTCTCGCCAAAAGCAACTGCTGTTACCAGTTTCTCGTGTCTCCTTCTGGGGACGCCCTTCACGTATTTTTCCTTAAACAGTATCATTTCTGCTGCTGTTCCGCCCCAGCCCTGGCCACTTTGCAATTGACCTTGAGCAGATGTACCCCTAACTCATTTTTAGAATGCTACTCACGATTCCATTTTGTGAATGTACCCTCATACATTCAACCAGTCTCCTGTTATTGGAGTTTCCAGCATGACTTTCCCTTCTATGTGAGTGTTTTCTTTTGGAGAACTCAGAGGTACCTGGCCGAGGGGAACTCAGGAACTTGAGGTCAGAGGACCCAGAGAGTTGGAATCTTGGGGAATTGTTAATATTAGGGAACTTTGGGGTTTCCCCAGCCAAGGCATTGGAGATTTGAGGTGATACTAAAAGTATCTCAAGGGTGGATATTTCAGTTTTTTACCTCCTCTGAATCCCAGAAATTTCTGGACTAAGCTTCCCTTATGTGCATTAGTGGAGGGCTGAAGACAATGCACCTTTCCATGGCCTGCAGTCTGACCCAGAGGCTCTCCATAAAATTGGATTGAATTGAATATACCTTATCTTTTGTGAACAAAAATACAGCATTTGTTGCACAGTTGTTTTTTTTCCTCCTCTGAATCTTTCAGTAGAGAATGGCAGTCCTTGCAAAGACCTTCTTATTAGTTTTGGGAATCAGCAGATGGTGTCTGACATGCACTTAATTTGTTTTTTCCTTCCCCTGCAACTCTGGCCCCATCTCTTTTAGGCCCTGCTGTTTTGCTGGGCTGAGCAGTGTCCTTGCCTTTCAACATCACCCTGAAGGCCCTGACCCGTGAGTACTGATTCACAGGCGGTGTCGGAGGCACTTTAAGATTCCTGCCACGTCATCCTGTTCCTCTTCTGACACAGGCGAGAGCAGTAATGTTCCAGTTGGGCGTTGGCTTCTTCCAGGACTGGGTCAACATTCAGGAATTATGAAACTAGGTGCCTCATTTCCTCATGATCTGAAAAATCAATGGAAATTCCCTCAGGAGGAACAATGGGCGGCTGCCGTATAGACACCAGCTGGGTATCCTCATAGCTGGAGTTTGAGATGAGGAAAGGGTGATGCCCCTTGATAGCAACTTAATGCACATGGGGCATTATTCTGACACACAGTGACACAGCTGGCTGTTGTTACTCCTCTTGGATTATTCCATCCCTTGTACTGAGAGCAAGGTCAGCCCCACCAGGCTGAAGCAATTGGTTGGGAGGAAGGTTTACATAATAGAAAGGAGAAAGAGAATGATGCAATCTGCATTTTTATTTCTTCCTCACCTAGTTGAATTCTATGGCAACATTCGCAGAAACACTAGGTCCTAGCTCAGGATTCCCAGTTGTGGCGGTGGGAGAGGTGCCTCCAGGAAGCATTGCAGGACTTCTGGAAGTAGACACAGGGCCGATGCTAGGCAGCAGTTCACCATGTGGCAAGGACCAGCAGCAGTTCTGATTGGTTGGGGCCAACGCCATCTGGGGCGTTAATATTTTAAATATGTCTGGGTGTGTTCTGATATTGAATATTACATGAATATTTTATATGTGGAACATAAAGGAGGGGATTTCTTTTGTAATTCAAACTACAGGAATTGGTAGGTGAGATGGAGAAATTTTGCCATTGGCAAAATCCACTGGCGGTTGAGATGGAGAAATGCAAAAATCCCAGTGGGAGGAAAGAAATCCCTGGGGACCATCTGAGCATTTGGGATGGTGGTAGTAAAAATTTTGCACTTATCAGAAAGGCACATGAGTAAAATATGGTTGAGAAGCACTACATAAAATAGAGGTGGTTCTGGTTTGATACCAGCAGGGGTGACACACGAGGAAAACCCCCATTATAAATCTGTGCATGCCGTTGGGGGGGGGTGGTGCATTGACAGACATAGAGATTGAAATCATTCAGCCTTGTGGTCATGAGGCGTGCCAATGGCCTTCCCGAGTCCTTGGAGGGGCTCCTGAGCAGTGTTCCAGGCACCCTCGTTTGTTCTTACCCTTCTGTGATTTCAGGCGAACGTGCTGGAAAAGGGCTTCCTGAAGTAGAGGCCCACAGAGGGGACTATAGTGTGGTGGTCAAGAGCGTGGTTTCAGTCCCAGGCAGACCCAGTCCCAGTTCCTCGGCTGCCACTCACTGGCCACAGAATGCAAGGGAGTAACTTAATCTCTCCAGCCCCCAGTTTCCTCTTTGGTGAGGGTCACAGGACTTACTGCAGAGGAGAGGGAAGGAGCATTTGAGATGATATACTGATAATGTGTTTTCCACAGGGCCTGGCCTAGAGTAGGTGCTTAGTAAGTAGTAGCTGGCACTGCCAGTGCACAGGAGCAAGAGGGCCTGTGAGTTCCACTTCAGCCACAGAAGAGGAGGCAGAAATGCCAGGAAGGTTGAGAACTGGAAAAGGGCGATGATCAGGAATAATGACCCTAAGGAAGCAAGAAGACTTCCGAATCCTCGAACATTTCCCAGTCCCCAGTAAATCTCCAGTCCTGATGAAGACAAAAATCTTGTTTCTTGTTTTTGTGAGTGTCAGAAGTAGCTGGAAAGATGTGTCCTGTGCCTAGCCAAAGTTAGGAGAAGAGAAAACACCTAGGAACCAGAGGAAAAAAAAAAAAAAAAAAAAAGCTGGAACCTGGGGCTTGGGGCTTGTAGAAAGGCAAAAAAAAATATAGCTGACAGCCAAGACTCCAAGTGTGGCCCCAGGGGCTTGGCCTGTGGTAATTCCTGACACAGTAGTTCTGGGAAGTTGATTTACCCAATAACCCTCCCTGCATGGGCTCAGTTTAGTTTGTGGCTTACTATAAATAAACATTTGTTCAACGAACACAACTGAATGGGCAGGCTAGCTTGGCTAATAGTATCTATGATTTAGCTACTCTAGAGCCCTCCAAAGATATCAGGTGTGCCTTATCCATTAGCACAACGAGGCACAGGGCTGAGCAGGTGAAGAGAGTACACAGCTGTGGTCTGACCTGCTCAATATCCCTTCTTCCTGAAACAGAACCTATCTTTTCTTCTTGGGGAGCCACCCCTCCCCTACTCTTAGCCCTTGGCTTAGGTTCCTCTTTTAAGACTCAGTTCTACCAGGAGGTAACCTCTGGTAAATTCTCAAACCCCGGGACACAATTTGAACCAATGAGATGCAATTCAATACGTGGAGCCCCTGGGCCAGAGCTGCTCTCTTGCTAGAGAACTTTGAGATTGTATATCTGTAATTATTGGGGTTTTATCTTCTCTCCAAGAAAGCCTCAGTAAGGATGAAGACAACAGGATAAAGCAGAACCAAGAGAGGGAGAGACACCATTTGAGCTCTCCTGACACCATTTGAGCTCCTCCTTCTCCAGGTGAGCATGAGCCAGTCCTGCATTTTTCCATTGCTTGGGCTTGTAAATTCTCTTTGTGCTTAAGTGGGTTTGAGGTGAGCATCTTTCACCTAAATACGTTGGGAAACTGAGAGGATACCTTCTGTTTTCTCTTCACCAGCAGAGTGGAAAAGCAACAGAGTCCTCCTTGTGATCTGAATTACAGATTTCGCAGCACTTTTCAAGGGTTAGCCTCTGTGTTGACTTTTGGTCTTCCCAACTCAGGTGCTTGACTCAAGCTCTAGTCTGAAATTAATTCCACATTTTGTAAAATAAGGAGGAAACAGAGTTGGTGAGGAAGCATCAATATTTTACAATAAGATTGATTTATATAAAATTTGCTAAAAATCTACCATTGTATCCACTGCTAAGCCTGGATTATCATCTCCAGCATGGAGTACTGTCTTTTTCTTAATTGCATGGGAGCCATTCTGAGAAACAGTAGTAAATAACTTTGTCAAAAGAGGGAGAAGAGTCATCTGGACAATGGAAATTGATATTCTATTACCTTTCAAGTTTGATGAGTATGGGTTTGGGGTTTAGTAAGTAGTAAATATGGTTTGCATGTCCGTGTCTCTGGCAAGAGGATATATATCTCTGAATAGAACCTGAGCAGCATATATAAACTGCCTTTAGGTTCATGTAGTTTGACACCTATATGCTTTTCTAACCTGTGGGTTAGATGCAGATGTGGTTCTTTCTTATTCCCTGCAGACACCCTGGTCTCCGTGTTAGTCCATTTTCACACTGCTCTAAAGAATATCTGAGACCAGGTAATTTATTAAAAACAAAGAGGTTTAATTGACTCACAGTTCAGCATGGCTGGCAAGGTTGCAGGAAACTTACAATCATGGTGGAAGGCAAAGGGGGAAGCAAGGCATGTCTTACATGGCGGGAGGAGAGAGAGACAGCAAGTGAAGAGGACGTGCTACACTTTTAAACCATCAGATCTCCTGAGAACTCACTATCACAAGAACAGCATGGGGGAAACCACCCCCATGATCCAATCACCTCCCACTGGTTCCTCCCTCAACACTTAGGGATTATAATTCAAGATGAGATTTGGGTGGGGACAGAAAGCCAAACCATATCACCCTTCTTCAACATATCCAAAATGTTCCTTACCTTTTCAGTTCAAGCCATGTGTGAGCTTGGGAAAGTTCTCAATGTGTTTCAGTGATGTTATCCGTAAAATGAGCAGCTTGGACTAGATTAGTGGTTCCAACTTTTTAAAAAAGGAGTAGAATTCTTTGTTCAAACAGAGCTTACACCAAACACCCATAAAGTAAACAGATAAAACTGGAGCTGTTGCAATGTGGGTGGAACCTGGAAGCCTCCTTGGTTGGCCTCAAGGATGGCTCTTGAGGTATCTTTATAAGCCTTTAAGACTCAGATGAATGGCCAGGCCTGGTGGCTCATGACTGTAATTCCAGCACTTTGAGAGGCCAAGGAGGGCAGATGACCTGAGGTCAGGAGTTTGAGACTAGTCTGGCCAACTTGGTGAAACCCAGTCTTTACGAAAAATACAAAAATTAGCCAGGTGCGGTGGCAGATGCCTGTAGTCCCAGCTACTTGGGAGGCTGAGGCAGGAGAATCTCTTGAACTCGGGAGGTAGAGGTTGCAGTGAGCTGAGATTGCACCACTGCGCTCCAGCCTGGGCAACAGAGAGAGTCTCCATTTCAAAAAAAAAAAAAAAGACTCAGATGAACATTTCAGACCAGATGTTCTCTAAGATCTTTTCCAGTTCCAAACATTGCAGTCCTGTTTTTGAGTACCACATCTTCTGTGAAGTCTTTTTAATACCCTGGCTCATGCCGATTGCTTCTTTTTCTGTGCCACTTAGCGTTTGTGACTATGCACACACACTGCCCGTGTTTGTACACTGAACCACATATGGAGATTGTCTTTCTTTGAAGCTTGTACCTCTATGTGATTCTTTTGGGAACTGACTCAAAACTGACTAGTAAGTTACAGAATATAACTGAGAGAATTCCAGGAAATGGGAAGATAAATTTTGTTTACAGCCCAGGGAAGGGTCTGCCCTCCTGGGGCAAGTCGCCTGTGCTGACAAATGGTGAGCTGCTAGCCCAGAGCAAATCAAATCTGGATGGATATGAAGCATGGGTACCAGGCACAGCTAGGCAGGCACAGACCAAAGGTCTCCATAATTGGTCTTTCTCCCAGATCTTTTTTTCCTGGTGCTTGTGTTGGCCAAGCTGTGGTAGTTGGAAGGCCATGGAAGATGTTTGCATAGCCTCACCTTTCAGCACCACTGGGCCAGCCACTGCAGTAGATGGTTAGGTTACTACTAAAGACACCATCGGGGGAAAACCCTGGGCTTGTCTCTACTACTCCACCTGCCTTAGTTATTTTCCTTCCACTGTGGGTCGAGTTCCTTTTCCTGAATAGCGGACTTTTTTACTGTCACTCTCACTCTGGAGTTCTGTGTAAACTTTAGGGCGCTTAGAAACATACCTCACACTGGATGTGATTTTTACAAGACCAGCCACGTTCAGTGGGACCTACCCTAGGACAGTATGTAGTGAACAGCTTCTGGAGGCTCAGGAAACGACGTTATGGCTGGAGCACCACCTAGTGGCAGTGAAGAACAGTGCGTGTGGTGAACGAATGATCTTCCCAATGAAGTGTAAATGGGTAAATATTAAGTTAAATCGCTTTCAGGGATTCCCTTTCTCCAAAAACAATCCCATTTAAAATATGCTTTAAAGCAAAAACTATACTGGACATAATTTTTAGTCTTTTACTAATTATTCCAAAGATATCAGTGTCACCATAATGAAGACTAATTATTCTAGAGTTCTCAGTGATAAGATGCTTAATACTAGCCTATAAATGATTGCTATCATTTACAAGAGGAATTAGGAGAAAAAATATGGCAAATTCAGTGGAAACTCACTTCTGAAAATTATTCAGGTTGCCACAGAACTTTTGGAATATTGAATCTCAGGATCCTTGTGTTGTGAAAAGTCTCAAGGATACACTAGTCCTGTGCTGAACATTTTCTTAGCCGTGGAACTCTTTCTTCTAATAAAATCTTATTCTGCCACCCGTATTACCTTCAAACCCTTAGAGCTGTCAACAAGGGAAGCCATGCAGTTGTCGATATGTTCAAATTTGATGTACATATGAGATACAGCTTATGCTGTGGTCATACTGAGCTTTTCCACAAACCTACTAAAACACATATCAAAAAAAAAAAAAAAAAATCACCACTAAAGGAGTCATCTTCAGAGGCAGTGCTTTTATGCCAATAGAACCACCAGTGATCAAGACAATTTGGGGACTTCTCTTTTAAAATTGCCTTTGTATTGGTTTATACTGGTGACATGAAAATCATATTACATTACTTTGGGTCCTGCTTGTTTGGAACAAGAAACTGCATTACACAGCTCAGTCAATGTTCTTAATTATCAAATGTATCAGATATCCTCTGTTTCTCAAAACTAAATCTCTCCAAAATGTAAGAAGATGATAGTCACGGATTTTGCAGTACATCTCTGTGCTTCTCAAACTCTGGGAGATGATTTACCTTTGAAAGAGCTCAAGGTAATGGTCTTTAAATGGTTTGCAGATACAAGGAGAGGGATAGATGGGCAAAGAAGTGCAATTCATTTTCTATTAGAAAATATGCCTCTAATTTCTAATCAGAAAAGTTTTCAAGTGATGTAGAAGGTAAGACTAGGGTGAGTGGGGGTAATGAGAATGAGAAAGTCTTTAACAGGGGGACCATTAAAAGACTCACTCCTTCAGGATGGCTTTGGTATAATGTGTATGATTGTAGAGACAGACTTGGTTCCTACGAAACAGATGTAAAAAAAAAAGAGGCAAATATTCCTATTTTTTTCATAAAATATCCAGCATTTACAAAGCAGTTTGCAAAGGTTAAAGTCAGATCTCAAGTTAAACCTGGTGTGTAGTCATAGTACTAATCATGCACAATACTCTTTGATCATTTAATTTAGTTGAAATTGAAAGCAACTTTATAAGTATAATTTTAATAATGAATTATTTTAAATAGGCAACATATACATCAACAATTGGTTTCAAATCTGTGCTTGCCGGCTGAGAAGAGGGGTTAAGAGTGTGGGCTCTGACATCCCAGGATTGAATTCTAGCTTGACCTTCGACAAATTACATATTTCAGTGCCTTAGTCTCCAGCTCTGGAAAATGAGGATGATAATAATTGCACGCCCTTAAAAATTCATTCTGAGGAATGTAAAATAACATTTTCTCCTTATGGGAGCATTTCTCAAGGATGGATCATAACTGACTACTGTGTTTCTCAAGGTTGGCTCCAAACCAGCAGAAGCTGAATAAAGGACCGTGAACTTGGAATAACTGTGGGACACTAGACTCTTACTGGTCCTAACCGAAGACTTGTTCCCAAATGGTGAGCAACGGGGTTCCTTTTAACCAACTCTATTTAGAACTTTAGATTCATTCTGTTCTTTCCAAAGTACTGGATTTCAACCCTTAATTATCAATAACCACATGAACCTACCCTGGCAAGCCCTTTAACAACTCTGAATTTTCCCTGTCAGTGAGCTACTGCTTAATTCAGTAAATTTCTCCCTAGCCTGTATTTCTGTGGCTAGCAGGTCAATCGACTCAGCTTTTATTTTATTTTGAGACGGAGTCTTGCTCTGTCGTTCAGGCTGGAGTGCAGTAGCTTCATCTTGGCTCACTGCAACCTCCGCCTCCCGGGTTCAAGTGATTCTCCTGTCTCAGCCTCCTGGGTAACTGGGACTACAGACGATGTCCAGCTAATTTTTGTATTTTTAGTAGAGAGGGGGTTTCACCATGTTGGCCAGGCTGGTCTTGAACTCCTGACCTCAAGTGATCCACCTGCCTCGGTTTCCCCCTGGGATTATAGGCATGAGCCACTGCTCTGGCCTCAACTTTTAATTTTTATCTATCGATCTGGTCTATTATTACCTGCTGCTTACCTACCCATCCATCCATTCATCCATCCATCCATCCACCCATCCTTTTTTTGTTTATTAGCTCTGGTCTTTGTTTTATTTGTTGATAGGACCAAGTAAATTAGTATGTGTAAAACTCGCTTAAAACAGTGCTTAGCACATGATAAGCATAATATGTGATAGCCCTTATGATCTAGTAATTCACCAGTGTCTTGTGTGTATTAGAAGAACAATGTGTCTCTGAAATATTTTAATTGTATCTCTACAAAAGCATACATAGGTGATAATATATAAATCTCAATAACAGAATGTTTCTAACCCAAGTTTTAAGTAATGATATGTGTTCAGGAATACTCCATTTGGCTGGCATCTAGGGGAATGGTTGGAAAGATTTTGAGTTTCTCCAGTGAGAAAAAGGCTGGCATATTCAGGCCTAAGTTCAGAGTCAAAGTCTTTGAAGTTAATAAATAGTTTTTAATTTTGAAGAAAATAAAAACTATTTTCTTTTAGGTTTGATAAATGTACACTTTATTCTGAATCTCTCCAACTTATGAACTTTTTTTGTTTTTTTTATTTATTTATTTTGCGACGAGTCTGGCTTCTGTCACCCAGGCATGGAGTGCAATGGGTGCAGATCTTTGGGCCTCACTATAAACCCAACCCCGGGTTCAAAGCCGATATCTCCTGGCCATCTACTCACGAGTAGGCTGGAATTTACAGGCAACCTGGCCACCACGCCCAGCAATTTTCATTTAGTTTTATAGTATAAATGGGGGATTTCACCATGTTGCAGACTGGATCTTGAACACCCCGCCTTTGGCCTCCAAAAGCTGGGCATTTCACAGCCATAGAGTCACCATGTGCGGCCGAACTTACGAACTTTTGAAAATTATAACTCTGAGCTTTTTAAGGACACAGGGTTAAAAGGTGGTTTGCTGGCAAATGGGCATCAGCAAAGCCTGTTTTGAAAGTTCAGCATGTGCGCACACATGTGCACACATGCACTCAGCCTTGGCCTTGCACTGTAAATTTTTAGCAAAGTACACAAGTATGGGCTTTTGTTGCCAAGGAAATGGCTTTGTTTCTCTGAGGAAGGAGATATTGAGGACACTTCTCTGTAAGTGATCACCCAGCAAGGCCGTATTGCTTCCCAGACCTGCTGTTCTGTACAACGTGAAGCTCTTCGGTCCTTTCCGTGCCTATCTGGCCAGTCTTTGTTAGAGTGCAGCAGGCAAGACAGGCTTTTGCTGACATCTATCTTCCCTTTCTACTTGCCTAGGCAATTGTGGCTCGTGTTTGAACTGAACAATGAAGAAATATCTCAGGCAGTTTTGAGTCAGCCTTCAGGTTCCTCAGAAATTTTAAACACAGGAATGAATGAGGTCACTGAGGTCACTGAGGAACTCCAGATGCCCCTGCCTCATGCTTGTAGCATCAGCTTCTGGAGACCAAGGGTAGAACTATCAGGGGCTGCATGACGAAGATGATAGTGGGATCACTTAGAAAGAGCCAACAGTCCAGGCCATGATAAGCTGGTACCCAGCTCTGCTTCACATGTAAGTTATTACTCTTCTAATTTTCCTTCTAGGTGAAATTAATTAAGCATTTATTCAGAATCTCCACTTCCTGCTAGTTGTCCATCTGGCGTGGCAGCAGCTCCTTCCTGCAAAGCAATGTTGAAGAAGCAATGGAAGCAAGAAGGAAGCATGGATTCTAGAAACTGATGACAAACCACTTACCCCTATTGCTCTTCTTCCTAAAGCTAAAGGTAAATCCTGGCTGGAGTTGCAAATGAGAATGTTAGCAAATGGGAGTAGGAATGGTGGTTCTAATGCTTGGGGCTTTAGAACCACCTATCCTCCCTTATACTCCTTTCCTGATGCAGAGTGCCAGAGTAGCCAATACCCCCTTTCAACAGGAGCTCACAGGACAGAAGAAGTCAATACTTAAGTAGGACAATTGCATTAAAAGAAAGACCAAAACTGCACAAGACTATAATACATACCACCCAAAGCAAAAATATTAGAGCAGAATCACCAAGGATTTTTTTTTTTTTTTTTTTTGAGATGGAGTCTTGCTCTGTCATTTAGGCTGGAGTGCAGTGGTGTGATCTCGGCTCACTGCAACCTCTGCCTCCTGGGTTCAAGCGATTCTCATGCCTCAGCCTCCTGGGTAGCTGGGATGATGTCCAGGTAATTTTTGTATTTTTAGTAGAGATGGGGATTCACCATGTCGGTCAGGCTGGTCTAGAACTCCTGACCTCAGGTGATCCACCCGCCTTGGCCTCCCAATGTGCTGGGATTATAGACATGAGCCACCATGTCCAGCCAGACAGACCAAGGATTTAAAATAAACATGAGATACTATATATACACTTGATAGCATGTGATCCATGGGAGCACCTCACCTGTAGCCCCTCCAATAAGAGTCTGTGGATTCTTACACATTTCAAATCCAGAGAACATATTTCCCTGACATGGTGTCTTACACATTTCTCATCTTTTCCCTTGGTTTATTTTTTAACCAGCTGGAAGTGATCTCTCTTGCTCTAAGTCAGGGTTCCCAACCTCAGATTAACATTTTGAGCCAGATAATTCTTTGTTTTGGGGAGCTGAGCTATGCATCATAGGGCTTAGCAGCACACCTGACTTCTATCCACTGTATGTCAGTAAGACCCCTGCCTCCATTGTGACCACTGAAAATGTCTCCAGACATTGTCAAAATCACTCCCTGGTTAAGAACCACTGCTTTAAGTGTACATCGTTCATTGTCTGTGTCACCCTAAGGTTTCTTCCAACCCAAGGACAGTGTATAGAACACATTTCCTATCTCTCCAGCTTGGAGTACAAAGTAAAGCCACGCTTTAAAACATATTCAAATAAAATAGCTCGAGCTCTCATATTACTGTCAAGAGAATGTCCTTCTTGCCTCTGCTGGAATCTCCCCAACTCTAGTGCTGAGTCTAAGGAACCCCAAAGCCACCTGGTCCAGGGAGCCCCATCTGTGCTGCTTTGGGGCTTTTGCTGCCTTGTAAGATGTGCTGTGGGTTGAAGGCAGACCCTGCTCCCTCCTGTGGTGGTTGAAGATTAGAGATGCTCCAGTCCTGAGGCTCCGGCCAATTGCCAGCAGCCTTTGCTTATGGCTGGGGGGCAGGAAAAGATGACCCTTCTCACCAACCTCAGCTGGGATCATTCTACACCACCACAGGTGAAGGTGCTGGTGTTACCGTCAGCATCTCTATGTTTGCACAGGCACACCCGTGTGCGTGTACACATACATGAACAGACATACAGAGCCATTGCCCCAGAGGGATTCCCCATAGTTCAAGGTGCCTGGGACAGGAGATTTTGTAGCCTGACGCATGCTGGGACAAGCCCACCTTGAGAAGGACATGTCCTTGGGGGTTGAACTTGCATCATCGTCTAGATTTCATCATCCCTCATGGGCCTTTCCCCTGGTGTGACTGCCAGTCTGCTGGTCGTGTAGGGCCCTGCTACTACCCACTGAGATGTTCTAATAACATTAAACTTCAAAAGGAAAGGGCCAGAGGTTCCATTTCTACACCTTCTAAGTAACCATATCTAGATGTATATTGGCAAACAGTCTTTGTCATCGCCTCTCCCCGCAATGTCCTGTTTTACTTTTCTATCAAAACCAACCTTAACTAGGAGGAACCCCTGGAGATACCTACTGTGAAACAAAGAAAGTCTCTTTTTCTATTTTCTTTTTTTTGAGAATGGGAGGGTTCTTGGCTCTGTCGCCCAGGCTGGGAAGTGGCAGTGGGTTGCCGATCCTTTCGGCTTCAAGTTTGGCCAACCTCCAACCCCCTCCCCGGGTTTTTTCAAGCGAATTCTCCCTGCCCCCTCAGCCCCTCTCAAAGTAGCTTGGGGACCTAGACACTAGCCCCAACCCACCCACGTCTAGATTAACTTTTGTATTGTTTAGGTAAGAGGGGTTTTCACATATTGGGCCCAGGCTGGTTTTCCCCAAACTCCCTTGACCTTTGTGGGGGGGTCCATCCCGCCCCTTGACCTCCCCCAAGTGCCGAAGGAAATTACAGCGTGAGCCACCGCACCAGGCCCAAGAGCCATCTCTTTTTTTTTTGAAGATGGGAGTTTCACACTTTGTTTTTGCCCAGGCCTTTGGAAAATGCAATGGCACGATCTCGGCTTACTCTCTTGGCAACCAACCAATCGCTCCCTGGGTTTCAAGGCAATTCCTCCCTCCCCATTCCCCCCTGCCTCAGTTCCCTCCCTGAGTAAAGCTGGGGAATTACCAAGGTACCCCAACCCCACCCCACGTGGCTAAAATTTTTTTTGGGTATTTTTTTAGTGAAGACCAGATTTAACGTATGTTATTTTGGGTCAGGCCCCTTGGTCTTGAACCTTCCTGACCCTCAGGGGAATCCACTACCCGCCTTCAAAGTCTCCCAAAGTGCTGGGATTAACAGGTGTGAGCCACTGTGGGCCCCCGGCCCAAAAAAAACATCTCTTTTAAAGGCCCCTCAACTGCTGACCAAATTATAATGTGACCAATGTTCTCTTGGCTTAATTTCTTTTCTTCACCAAACAATCCTAAATTAACATGGTTTATGGGTCTTTTTTATAATGTGGGTTAAAAAAGTTGGGTCCATTTTCAACCTTGCCCCCTTTTTTTAGAAACAGAACTATTCTTTCCCAAAGAAAATTTTTAATAGAAGAAAAATCATTAGTATTAAAACTAATAAAAGTAAATTTAAATATAATAAGTATTAAAATATAAAAGTATTAAAAATAATAATATAAAATTATTTATTTTATAAAAATAAATTTAATATAAAATATCCAATTTAATGTAAGTAATTAAAATAATAAAGTGTTTTAAAAAAAAATATAAAAAGTGAACTGGGGCCAAGTTTGCCCCAAAGCCCGTTCCCCTGAGCAAACTTTTGGGAGGGCCCGAGCGGCGTGGATCACCTGAGGTTCAAAGGGAGTTCGAGGAACCAGTCCTGGGCCAACAGGGGGTGAAACCCCTGTTCCACTACCTAAGAAAAATACAAAAAATGGGCCCAGGTGTGGGGGGCAAGATGCCTGTAAAATGTACCAGCTAACTTGGGAAAAAAAGGCTGAAAGGCAGGAGAATCAAACTTTCAACCCAGGAGTAGAAAAGGTTGCAAGTGGAGCCAAGAAATTGGTACCAGTTGCAACCCCAGCCATGAGCAGACCAGAAGGCGGAACCTCCTGTTTCCATCCAAAAAAAAACCGTAAAAAGCGGCTTGTTTGGAAGTGTGGGGGATGGGGGTCCTGAGTTCTGCTCTCTTGCCCCATTGTTTTTCCTCTGCAGAACCCTAGGACCTTGAGGATACCATTTGAAAACTATTCATAGAGAACATGGCATCCTAGAATGAGAAATCCGCATCTGGTACTGTCAGCCAGGGTTCCTAGCTTTCAGCAGAGAGGAAACTTATTAAAAACATATAGGACAGCATAGCTCACCCCACCCCTGAGAGGGAGAGATGACAAACTTGGAGGTAGGAAGAACGGCCTGGATTCACAATGCAGTGAAGATACTGCTGCTGCCGGACACAGCAACCCTGGCTTATATCACTAGACATGGGACCTGCCTGGGGGGCTTGTACCAGGGAGCCTGGACACGGGACCCTGCTGCTGGGGCTATGGCTGCGGGGCTTCTGGAGTGTCTGTGTTGCTGAGACTCCAACTGCTGCCCCCCAGCTACTGGAATGGAGCCTGCCCCAATTTCTGATTCAGTTTGAGGCAGGAGTGTCTCACTGGAAGATCTTGCACCACGGGCCTGTACCTTAGCTTTAAGGAAGGCTGTGGAAGGGCATACATGGTATTTTCATTTCTGTAATTTGAAGTAGCTCTACCTAATAAGACCAAAAATTCTCCAAAAGGAGAAGGAGGTTTAGATGCTAAGGGAGGAGGAAATAATGACAAATGCTTACTACAGGAACTCTGGCAAATTGCTTTTTCTCTGAGCATTATTCCTCTAGGAAAAACAATGGCCCTTCTAAGTCATCCATCCATCCATCCATCCATCCACCCATCCACCCATCCACCCATCCATTTATCCATCCATAGCAAACATCTAGTAAGAGCTGTTCTAGCTATCTATTGTTGCATAAAAAATGACCCCAGCTTAGTGGCTGAAACAATCATTTCGAGGTATCTCATGACTTTTGTTGATAAGAAACTCACACAGGACTCAGCTGGCTGATTCTGCTCCCTGTGGAGTCAGTTGGAGTCCTTTGAGATATTTAAATAGCAGCTGATCTGATCTGGACTGGTCAAAATGGCTTTGCTGACTTATCTGATCCCTTGACGAGGAAGGCTGGAAGGCTGGACTCTGCTGGGCTCCACTCCCTCTCCATGTCGTCTTAGGCCTTTCCACAGGGACTCATCAGCAGGGTAGCTGGGCTTCTTACATGAAAGCTCAGGGCTCCAAGAGACCAACTTTGCCTTAAGGCTAGGCTCAGAGGTGTCATAATGTCACTTCCACCATACTCAGTTGGTCAAAATAGTCACAGGCCCAGAATCAAAAGGGGAAATAAAATACATAGACATGTGGATGGGAGGCATCAGTGAATTTGCAGTAAGAGCCTTTAATCCATTGTAAGAACCCACCATGTGCCAGACATAGTGTTAAGAGGGGGAGATACAAAACCAAGGCATGGCCCTGTCTTCAAGGAGCTTGCAGTCATACAAGGTTACAAATGAAGGCAGTTAATGAGATCAATGTCAAGAAGCATTGTAAATTGTAAAACAACTTTAATATAAAGGATTGCTTTATCTCTGAGCTTTATTCCTAAATAATCCTAAAACTAGGATCTAACAAACCCCTCTAATGCTCTCAAGTATCAGTTACTATTTGTTGACTGTTCACCAAGAATCAGACACTCAGCTAAGAATTCTTTTGGTATAATTGTTCCCAATTCTCAAACCAATCCCACTGCAGCAATTTCTATGTGCCAAAGCCTTGCCCATGCTTCTTGTTTGATGACATGATATCTTGGGTTTGGTCTTATATCAGCACCCACCACTCTACCCATTGATGCCACTTAATAGAGGCTTCTCGAGATGCCCACGCAGGCCTCTAGCCACTTAAGGAGAGATTTTCAATTTACAGTGACCCAACCAACCACTCGTTAGATGCTCTGATCTGTTCCTCTCACAATTATTACTTTAATTTGCTGCCCTCTCTCGGGCCATGAGGCGACCAGCTTGCAGGCTGCAAGGCAGACAGAGTTAAAGACATATATAAAAGTGCATGTGCTCTATTAACAAAACTTACTAAATTCCTGCTGTGTTTGGGGAACTAGACCACAGAGCACTGTGAGCCAACACAGTTCCTGCCTCAGAGAATAGTCACGCAGACAAGATTGTAAAACTTTTCATTAGTTTTACCTGATTGATAAAATTAAAATGCAGAAAATCAGAAAAGTAAAAAACAAAAAAGCAGTTAGTCATAATCTCACTATCCAAAAACGGTGCTATTCATATTTTGATGTATTGCCTTCTGGTTATTTCTTTATTTATTTTTAGTTTTAAGAAAATTATAGACTTCATTTTTTAGAACAATTTAAAGTTTATAGTAAAATTGAGCAGCTAGGACAGCTGTTTCCCTCTGCCCTGCTTCCCTGCACATAGTTTCCCCTATTATTAACATCTTGTAACAAAGATCTTGTATTAGTGCCATATGTTTGTTACAATTAATGAACCAATATTCATGTATTATTATTAAATAAAGTCTATCATTTACTTTAAGGTTTATTCTCTGTGTTGTACAGTTCTGTGGGTTTTGACGAATGCAGGTCAGTATCCACCATTTCAGTATCCTACAGAATAGTTTCAGCATGTATCTTGTGTGCTGTCAGCCCCTACCATCGTATGCTCCTGCGTGCAGCTTTTTTTTCTTGTTTCTTTATTTTTCATATGTAAGCCTAACGCAAGCCTTCCTTTATGCTATTGTACCCTTCTTCCACATGTTTATAAACTCTCATAAACATCATGGGATACACCATCCTCTGCTTAACCATGCCCTTGATGTTGGACATTCATGTCTATGACAAGTGTTCACTTATCATATAGGATATTTTAAAATCATTTCATGGAAATAATTTCCAGGATCTAGATAGCATTCAGGGGAAAAAAATAATTTAGAAAGAAACAGCATTGTGTGGTGTCCCCCAGCACCTCCCAGACAAAAGGCTTTTGTCTGAAGGTTGGAGGCTGCGCTGTCTTGGCCTAGTGAGTGCCAGTTTCCGCGTGGCTGCCCCGCACCCTTGAGAAGGCTGTCAGGGGACAGTGCTGGCCTGGGTCTTAGCTTCCCCGCTCCTGCAGGAGGACTGGACTTCCTCATTCATTCCCTTCTTACTCTCATCCATCAGCGCCTTTAAACTGAAACCTGGAACTATGGTATTCTCTTTGGTTCTTAGAACGGGTTGGCTTAATGGGGGAAATATTAATAGCACTGGTGTCAGTGGAAGTGACCTTGAGCCACATAGGAAGATTTTGATAAAACGTGTCACTCTTGTTACCTATCAGGATCAAACTGCATCATGGAAGCTGCACACGATGACACCCTGTCTGGAAAGTTTTTGCCAGACGGCAAAAGACTGCAAGCAGAATATCCCTTCGCCATTTCTCATGTAAGTGCATGCCAGAACTAATAAGAATAATATGAGAATGAGAGGTTTTTTTTTGCTGTGAAACTGATAACCATAAAATTCGATATCTAGAGTCCTGGAGTGTAACAGCTCCTTCTCATACATTAGCTTCCATTCATTACCCCACAACAGTTCGGCATGCTGGCTGGTGTTACTGCCATGTTAAAGTGAGGAGCCTTGGTGTCTTAGGTTACTGAGAGATGACGTTGCCATATGTGGCTCTTCACAACTATCCCACAGGCCCTCAGTTGGAATGTGGCAGAACTGGGAGCTGAATCCAGGACTGGTTTCCTCATCTGCTCTAGCCAGGAACAGGCCAGGCCACCCTTCTGGACACAGTCTATCCCACGTGGGGACAGATTGGCCAGCCCCAGCCCACGGGTCTCAATGCAGCCAGAGCTGCTGTGAGAAATCTTGTTTGCTTTAGCCTTTGGAGTCCTGTCTGTTCTCTGACCTCTGACCCAGAACTGTGTGTTCCAACCACTTCCCAGTCTGTTGCCCTGGCTCAAAACAAAGTGAACGAAAGCTCTTTCCTCAAGCCCTGCTCTCATACTCGAAGGCTCCGTGAAAATGAGTGGTGTGGGCATGTGGCTGGTGAGTCACTGTGGCCCTAAAATGAGCAGGAAAATAGAGGGCAGGTCTGGGCCTCGCAGGGCTCTAATGGCAGGGAAGCAGGAGGGTCAGCATCAGGAGCCTGGCCTTTGGCCCACAGAGACCTGAGTCCTCCCCTTACTCCTGAGCTGTGTAACCTTAGGCAGGGAACTTACCCCTCTGGGCCTCAGTTTCCTCACCAGGAAAGCAGGGCTGATCATAGTGCATGGCTTATAGAGCAATTTTGAGGATTTCATGAACAAAAATACAAAGGTGAAGCAGTTAGCCTTCTGCCTGGCATGAGTAAGCCCTCAGGAAACTGTAGTTGTTATTATTTAGTAGCCAGGAAAATATAGAACACTCAATCTGTTGGCTCCCTGGTGTTTACAGAACTGTCAGCAAACACTTCCACATCACCAACCAGCAGGGCCATTCATCAAACACCTTTGCTTTTGTCTGTCAGGCCTCCCACTTCAAGAAGTGTCCCTGAGTTTAAGTCAGTAACCTCCTAGGCAGGGAAAGTTGCCTCATACATGTGACACGCAAGCATGTCTCTAAAGGGACAGAGGATCTGGCAAAAATCTAGACTCTCAACTTGTCTGTTTCCTGAGACACCCACAATTGGCCTCATGGAAGCGGTTGACTTCTTCCCATAGCTGGCTGTGTCTTACTTGGTCGCCTCCTCCAAGCCCAGGGCCAGCCCTGCCTGGCTGGGGGATCGTGACAGTCTTTGTTCTCATATGGCAAAGTGTTTTGAGAAGAGGGTAAGATCATTAGTTAGCTGTCAGCCTCCAGTGTCATTAGGTCATGAGTAATTCTACTAGAAAGCCAGAGCACTGGCAATTCATTTGGTCGAGAACATTTTATCTACTTGTACGGCGTAGCGAGGAAATAAATGGAACAAATTCTATAAAAATCTCTGTCAACTGAACAATTCCTTACCAATCCAACAAGATGACGACGATGCCACTTTTCCTACCTGTGAGAGGTCATGTACAGACACATGCACATGCACACACCACATTATACCCCCCACCACAAATGGGCGCACCCTCCCTCCCCCCCCCGACATACACACTGGTGCACACATACACGCCACACCACATTCTGTAGTTAGGAAAGGATCACGTGCAGCCTTAAGGACTGGTTTGCGTAACGGGTGCATATTTCTGCTAGTGTTTTTGTTCTTGCAGCCAGGCCTGGCCGTTGTCTGAAAGCAAACCTCAAGGACAGGACTTTTTGGACTCTGCAGCCTCTCCAGGCTGCTGCTCCACCACATGAAGTCCAGCAGGTGGCAGTGCACCCCGCACAGACCCGGCTTGCCTGTCTTGGCCCGAGGGAGTCCGTTTGATGCGCAGTCGGGAAGTGGGTCTGCACGCACCTCGCTGCAGCTGTGGCAGACGCAAGCGATGACACACAGGCTTGACGAGGGCCTTTGTCAGAAGCAATGGGGATCTGGCGTCACCGCACAATGGAAAACAAAGTGCTTCTGCCTGGCTGGCCAGAATGCACGTTTGCTCACTATTGATGCCGGGGCATTTACAGGCAGAATGAGTTCATGTGAAATTTCAGGGTCTGCCATGACTCAGAATCACTTTCTGTAAACCAGAGTCAACATTACATTTCGCTTTACTCTGAGCCATTCCTTGAGTTTTTAGGTCACCAGTTGTTTTTGTACTAACCGAAGAGATTTGAGTATTTTTTATGTACCTTATTTTTATTATTATTTTTAGGGCATTACCAATTTGGGACGGATCTGTAGTGTGAGAGATTGTTGTCACTCTTAGCTCCAAACATAGATTGGCTTTATATATTATTTACATGTTCAGAATTATATTGTGTAGAAATTCAAGTGAAACTTGCAAAATACTTTTCTGGCAGGAAGCCCTGGAGAGGATCGTTCATGGAAACAAGGATGACGACTGTGGTAAGAAATGCAGGTGACTCGTGAGTGGGCAGGGAGTGGAAGAGAAGATGGCTGGAAGGTTTTAGCATTCAGAAAAAAAATGGAGACAACTAGAGTTGATCTGAGGATTGTGGCAGAATTCAATATTGGGGCAAAGAAACAAGATGGAGGTTAGAAATTAGAAACAGCAGAGCTCCGCAGGTTGGAAAGGATTTGAGCAAGAGAACAAAAAGGAGCCTGCTAATAGCACCCTGGGTTTACATCAAGAGAAGCACCTGGAGAGAATTAACTCAGGAGGAGGTAGGGGCATGGGAAACCTTTTCATCTCCAACAGCCGGCAGGAGCAGCAGCTGGCCTGAACTTGAAGGTATACCAGGTAGCTTGCCTGGGCCAGGAGAAGGTGATTCTCTTCTATGCCTCTCTCCAGTGCTCTGCTTCTGATGCTGCTCCTCTACCCGTAGTGCGGGGAAGATATATCCCTAAGAAGTTCCCTGCACCCCCATTCCTTGTTCTGGCTAACTGGTCCCCTAGGAATTTTTCTCCTAATTTTCAATTCCCCTTCTCACCTGGTGAAATCTTAAATCTTACTGTTCAATAAAAGTTCTTGTACCAAAATGTCTACACCACGTTGAATTTTTTGTGTTTCCTTTGTTTTTAGTTCCTGGGGAGTTTTGCTTGGAAAAAAAAGCCTCTGGGGACTAGATAAGGAAGGAAACCTTCCTGTGGACCCTCTTGAGCTCTGTTTTCTTTCCTGGCCTCACTGGTGTGAGCCCACTGACTGCCCTACTGATCTCTTGCTTTACTGGATTTGGGTGAGGACTGAGGAGAGGGACAGGAGGGTATTCACTGGACACTATTCAGACTAAAGGATTAGATGTCCCAGGTGAGTAAGCAAGAAAACAAATACATAAACAAACAAAACTTCTGAACGTTTTCAATCCAAGTGGAGCAGAATTTAGCTTTTCCAGCTAAACTGCCCCACCCCTGGCACCCAGGGAAAATGGTGCTTGTATTGTAATATGTTCTCATAGATGCATGCAATATTATGAGTAATTTTTGCCTTGTGATGTAAATTCTTTTTTCCTCACTCAGGAAAACATATTGTAGTTGGAAAAAAAAAAAAAAAAACAAACCAAAGAATTCTGGCCAGGCGCGGTGGCTCATGCCTGTAATCCCAGCACTTTGGGAGGCTGAGACGGGTGAATCATCTGAGGTCAGGAATTCGAGACCAGCCTGGCCAACATGGCGAAAACCCATCTCTACTAAAAATACAAAAATTAGCCGGGCATGGTGGCAGGTGCTTGTAATCCTGAGTAGTAGGCGGCTACTCAGGAGACTGAGGCAGGAGAATTGCTTGAACCTGGGAGGCAAAAATTGCAGTGAGCCGAGACTGCACCACTCCAGCCTGGGTGGCAGAGTGGACTCAGTCTCCAAAAAAAAAAAAAAAAAAATTCTGATCCTTTTTGAGTTTGTGTGTGTATGTGTTTTATGTGTGAGTGAGAGGACACAAATATAAACTGAAACTTTGCTAAGTAATAGGTTATAACTGATCTGGATACATCAGGGTAGTGAGAACAGTAAGTCTGGAAAAGAAAACAGTTGTTACCAATACACATACACTCTCCCACACATAGAACAATGCCTGGGTCTCCTGCATTTTCATATCTGCTGAACAGGTAGCATGAATTCACATCATTTCAGCGATGGGGAAATGGAAACTCGCAGAGAGCTTAACTGAATTTCCTGAGACCATGGGATGTCAGAAGGGCCACTAAATCTTTCAACTGCCAACTCATACTTTAAACTCCTGCCTCTTATCCTTTTCAAAGTGACAGGGGAAGACCAGGTACAGATCTGTAAAGTGCCTCATTCCATTTTCAGAGGAGCTGAGGTCAGGTGCCTCCTACAGTCAAGGTCTCGCCAAGAAGACCGTGGCCACATTCCTCAGTTCCCTGGCGAGTGTTTTGACACCTGGGTGCTCCTGCCTGATGAGCCCAGCATTCATGAAGCACATGTGACAAGAGGATGGCTGGAATATTGCTCAATATGTTCAGGTCGACGGCACTGGCTGCATGTAATTTGAGAGGAGTGTAGAATGTCATCTGGACTTTTATGACGCACCCCTCTCCCCTTCCTGAGAATTGTTTGCATGTGGAGATTTCCTGCCTATATTTTTAGTGTCAAATTTTTTTGTGGTTGCTCAAGTACCTTCGGCCATGTTTTACTGGCTTACGCAGAAGCCCTGATGCCCCTGATAAAACTGATGACCATCGAATGGAAAGAAGTCAGTGTGGAAAGCCCAGGAATTGTCCCATAGCTGGCCCTGTGGGTTTGCACTGATTCCTCAGAACAAGTTTGCAGATAGCTTAACTTCCAGAATTCCTGAGTTTCAGTAGTCCCCCTTCTTTATGATGAATTGGAAAAAGGGTATATTCTGGGGTAAAACAAAAGGGAATTGGGTGCAGCAAAGATCCCTAGACCATTTTTCCCAGTGGCCCATTGCTCCTTCTGCTTTTTCTATGCCAGCTGAATCTCCCCAAGCCCCACGTCTGCGGCAAAGTCTCCGTGGTGAAACAGGTGAGTCACACTTTTCTGCTTCTCTGCAATTACAAATGTTATCACCTCATCTGACAGAGAGAGGGTGTTGGTAGGAAATACGCATTAGGAATAAACTCTTTGGAAACAGCAACACTGCTTTCATGAAATGAAGACTTTTTTTTAGAAAGTCTGGAGTTAAAGTTATAAAAATAAAGAGGAGTCATCTCCCTTTCCTTCTCCTACAATAATGGAAATGAAATATCAAAGTAAACGGCACCACATCCATGTCCTCAGTACATGTGACTCGCTAACCATGCCAGCCACCCCATCCCTTCTCTGCCATCTTCTTTGCTGTTCTCACTGTCTCTCAAGACCTGATTTAAAACCACCTTCACTAAGATGTCTTCTTGTCCCCCTTCTGGTCCTTCACGGAATATTATTTTGCTTCTGAAACTTAAAAAAACAATTTTGTTCTCAGGTCATTCTCTGTGTACATCCCATTTCATCCATCCTATGGATTAGATGTTCTTCCAGGGTAGTAGAGGCGACCCCACCTCATGTCTTTTTATTCTCCCTCTGCTTTTTATTCCCATAGGCAGTCTTCAGTATGAGACGCATCGATCTCAGATCTTATTCAATTCCAACTTGTACCAATCAAAGGCCCTCCCAGCGAAGATAAAAGCAAAGTCTCCTTCCTCCGGAGCACGTGGGAATGGCCCCCCAATAGCTGGGGCATGCAAGCTGATGAAGTTTCATCTTCCACCTCTACCCAAACATGACCTTGCTGATACCATCTCCTATTAGATGACAAATCCGGATGTTTCTATTGCATGGTTGTTATTTGCCACATGCTTCCTGGACAAGTTTCTAGGTAACCTTAATGTCTGTGCTGCTGGGGAAGGAGGAGTAGAAAATAACTCACCTCTTCAGTAAGTGGTTTTAAAAATATAACAGTGTTTAAAAGCTTTTAGAGAGCAGCTCTCCTTCCGGCTGCTCCAGCTCTGTTTGCTTTGTGATAGGAGCCCCCGTAACGCTTCGTGCTTGGCAACATCTGATGAGGACAGAAGGCAGGTTTAAAGCTGAGAAGATTGATTTTCCCTTTGTAGGGCTTTCCATGAGGGGCGTGGGAGAGAAGTCACTTGGGGAAGCAGTGGTCAGTGAGGTTTACTTCTCCATATGCTCCGCATTCATGTGTAAGGCTAAACAAACGCGCTGTCTCCGCAAGCACATCCCACACCACAGAGAGGAGCAGTTTGTCCTGGAGGTCCTAAGGAGGCGACCAGTGACCTGGGGGGTAAAAGGTTGGGGCTCTTGGGGCCTTTCCTCTCACTCTCATTTCCATCCTAAACTGGCAGGGGAAATATACTCAAATTGCCTGTGTGTTTCGATTTGATGTGGCCACACTGTGACCACTCAGGATGGCTCGGTGCTGCTGAACTCCACGGTTCACACTAGGCCCGACTGTCTAGTTTTAGAAAGTGGGAGGAGATTTCCCCTCTGCCAGGACTTGGGGTTTATGTTCCCCAGAGCATTGAGCAAGAGCCTCCTGTTTACAGAAATCTCCCTCCCCATGATTTCTTCCTGTCGGGGTAGAAGGAGGAGTAGGACAGAATGTGGAGTAGATCTTGCCACTTCAGTCCCTTTGTTCTTGCCCAGCACGAGGCTACCAAGGAAAGGATACGTGGGGCGCTGGGGGCAAGGATATGTATTGGTCGTCTGAACTCTGAAAACACAATATTAAAATTGGCATTGTAAATGAAATCATTAGGTCTTCTGCATATAGTTTTATTTCTTCCAAAACTTCATAAAGCTGTCAAAAATACCTACACTGTATTTTAAATGCTGTGGGCAATGTAGTTTTTTAAGTTTTATTTTAAAGTGCTATTGTAATTCCTTTAAGAGATGTACACTGTCTACCTGGTTTACTTTTTGTGCAAATACGTATATATACACTATATATATATTTACACATATACACATACATGTATATATATACGTATATATTTCAAAGTTTTTTGAAATCTAGTGCTCATACAGTATTTGGTAGTAACTAACAGCTGCTAAGTCAACCCCTAATCTTCTCAACCTCATCTGGCGTGACTTAGAGCAGAAATGGTCCAACCAGCGCAGCAAACATGTACCCACCCAAGTTGACTCCTAGGGGCATTTTGTCCACAGGTGCTTCTACCTTGGTGTGTAAACTCCATCTTACAATTTAGGATAATTTGGTTACATAGCACCTCCTACGTCTTAAAATAAAAACATCAATGCCCATTTTATATAGTGGGTCTATGTAGGATCTAGTGAAAATATGCACTTAAGTCTTTTAGAAGACATGAGAGATGGAGGTCATACAATTCTTTTTCCATATGCGAACAGAGTAAATACTTAGTGTTCATCAACTCCACAAAAATGAAGATTCCAAACTACTCCAAAATTAAGGAATAAATCTTTATCATTTGGCTTTAAAGACTCTGAAAGTATTGGGTTCTATAATTGCCTTAATTGGGGTCATGCAAAGGTGGAACAATAGGAGCTGAATAGTTCATGTTAAGGCAGATCAAGGCTTGACAAGTTCCAGATTTCCAGCAGGATTTAACTCCTGAGTCACATCAGCTTGGGGTGCAAGACTCACTGGGAAGCAGGGAGTAGCAAAAATCAGTCTGCAGAACTCTAGAAAGCAGTACCCGATAAAGACCTTTAAAGTTTCCATGAATCAAAGATATTAAGATTCATTTTCTGCTACCCCATCTTCAAAATAAAAGCTATTCAAAGCCAGAACATAAATAGAAAAATTTCTCCCATGGTAACCACCTGGTTGATTAAAATATTTTTAATTTTTCCTTCTCTTCTGTGAATTGCTGCTGCCCTAAACATGTGCATGGTCTGCCTGTTAGCTTCCTAAGCACATCTGGCAAGGTGGGGGAGATGAGGAAGGGCAGCTATGGAGGTGGGCATTTGGGAGAATGTAAATGCAAGGCTGGGGACAGCTCTCACTGGAGGGTAGCATGACTGCCCAGCCAACAGCCAGATAGAATAAAGGGACAGCCCCGGCAAGTGCTCCAGAGTAGGT